AAACTATGAATCGAAATAACAAATATAACTTTTCTAACGGTCCTTTATGCTAAAACAAGACGTCAATTATTTTGTTTTTAGTTGTGCAACATAATTATTGCTCTAAAGCATTTTAAAGTTTGTTAAAATTCTTGCTTCTTTAAGCCTACTTATCCTAATGTGGAAAAATCCAGCATCACTGCTTCATCACTTAAGCGATCTAGGGTTACTAAGGTCCTTATTTAAGACTTGATAGTATTATTGCTTGGACAACAAAAATAGAACAATATTAAAGTCCGATAGTTATTTTAATTATTTGGAAGTGACAGCTTCAAATTTGTCAGGAATCTTTTAGGTCTCTGTTTTGCAAGGCAACCACCCTTCTGGTAATATTCCGATTAAATTGCTAAGCATACATGTACTCAGGCTGAGGTGACTAGTTTTTCTAAGTCAAGCTGACCAGTTTATAAAAATGTGTAAATAATTTTGACTTTATTTTAATCGAAGGTATAAAGACAAAGGTTGTGCTGCTTTTAGTATGGTAGTGGTCTCCTTTCGTTCTATAGAAGTTGTTTGACCTTGTTTACGCAACTTGATCGTATTTTAAAGACGATCCAGAGGTACGCACTTTGCCTGGAGTCCACATTATGCATGATAATTTCAAGTCGGACTATGGACTTGGTACATTCCCAGTTGTTTCGCCGACGCCGTCAATGAGCCTTGTTATTCTTAGTACGACACTACAACTCGTCAAAGTGTCAAGTGAACTTGATCCTTCGACCAATTGTCGGCTAAACAGTTGTGGTATGCCTTCTCTCCTGTATTATTTATCTATCCTGTATCCTTTTTACACCTTTTCACTATCGCAATTTCTTATTTGCTTTTTTAAACCTGACTGTGTGTGGCTTACTCTTATCTTCCACTTTAGCGTATCAGCTCTGTGATTTTCTGAAACCGTTTTTAATTCAGGCATATGATTCAAGTCATATATCTTTTCGTTTCTATTTTCAGGATCTTACTCTTCAACAGAAATATCCAAACATGTCGGCAGAGCTATTGCGTAACCGTAAAGGTATTAAACTTAAGCCAGGTGCTCCTTGTGATAACTATCGGGGCTATTGCGATGTCTTTTTACGATGTCGCTCTGTTGAAGCTGAAGGTCCTCTGGCTCGTTTGCGCAATCTATTATTCAGCCCTTTAATGCTTAATAAAGTAAAAACATGGATTACGGTAATTTCATTAATATATTTTACAATCCTTTTTTATGTTAGGCAGTTACATATATATATATATATATATTTAATTGTCAGGGTTCATTGAGCTATGTTGTAAATTTGAACAAGTATTTTAATAGTATTTTTAATTCGATAGTAGGCTACACGATTGACTACACACACCTTCTCGAGGGTATTCAGTTCTTACATAATATGATATAATTATGCTTTATTTTTCACGTAGCAAGATCTGCACATGCACTTTTTCATATTTTAAATTATGTTTTAACTCAGATTTGAGTCAACTTTCTATCCTCTTCTCTTCCTTATCTCACCATCCTTTTCAAAATTTGAAAGTATCTAAGACGAATAGCAAAAATACGTGAACATTGAAGTCCGATATATCTTAAGCTCGGTGTGATTTAAAATAGATATTGTGACGAAATGCCATTCCTGCAACACCATTTTTGAGGCTTTTTTAGTAAATATTGTTTAAAGCTTCATTGCCGGAGCCTCCACACAATATATCCCTAACTTATATTGAAACCATAACGAAAGCAATGGGTATTTTAATATAATATATGAAGACCAAGATGGTGTGGCTCACTTTATGCACATTTTGTCTATATATAAACAAAAATATTAATTTAGGATCAATAATGCCATTGTTAGAGGGACTTTCATTTCGTATGAAAGTGCATGAAGAAGAGATTCGTTGGTCGATATCAGCAGATAAGGACGGATGACCTCGTACTGCAGCCGTTTGGTTTGTATACGATATTCATGTTGACGCAGTCCACGAGTCTTCATCTCTCGTTTCTGGCAAAAATGTGCTAAGCTTTCGTCCATCGTATGATGGAAATCATCAGAGCTGGGTGTCATTCTTGTAAAGTCAAACGTTAACACTAGGCCGAGAAGACTATTCGGCTTTTTCTTACCTCTTATATATACTCAGTTAAGCCAAAAGAAAATGAAAAACCTAGATCGGTACGGAGTGGTTTGGCCAATTATCTTTTATACAGGTCCTGCTACTTTTGCTGGTGTGTGTGTGTGTGTGTTAACGTCTATACGCAATACCGGTCGCAAATCAGAGTTATCGAAAGGTTTATGTTAGACTCTGATCATTAAGGCCTAATGACTTCAAAGAAAGCCCTGACTAACACTACGTTAGTCCGTTAGTAAGTATGGTAATTATATGTAAGCTTGTAAGCATGCCAGTTAAGTTACGAAACCACCTGTCTTAACCTCTCAGTCTAGAGTCATTCACGCTCAACCCTCCTTGGAAAGACATTATTGGGGCTGCGTAATTTGGCACGTCCGGTTTGGTTGATGAGCTTATTCTAACATGTTGGACGAGTGGGAGTGAAGTCAGAACCATAACCGAGCAGACTAATTGAGTCGCCTTCTTTTTGACGGCGGCTTAACGCCCTCTCTTCTTTAATCTATCAATCAAGCATAAGTAATTTCTACTCAACTTTCTAACTCCGTTTCTCACATTCAACGTATTTCCTAAACTATTAATTTCAATAGCCTCTCTTATCTTTCTTTTAACCACAGACATACAAAAATCAGCAAATCTACTAGTTTGAGACCATTTTATTTCATGTCCAGTTTCTACCATATGTTCGGCCACTTCTGACCGTTGGATCAGCTACCTTTGCAAGCATTTTTGTGTTCTACCAATCTTTGTCGAATAGCTCGGCAGGTCTCACCAGCATAATTTCGACCACACGAGCAAACAATCTTGTAGCAGCCGGATCTCGATAATGAGTCATATTTCTCTCTAAATATGGCATAATAGAAGAAAGTGTGAAAATTTCTTTTAAGACTGTTTTTATGCCCCACTTCACTAATTCGCTTATCTTTTATGAGAGAAAGCATGACGGCAAAATTAGGACATGGGCAAAGGTCTCAGTCTGTCTCTGACTAAATGGTCTCTGTCTGAAAATTTATTCCTCAGTAGAGAGATATTTTTCTCAATAAGGCCCAAATGTTAATTATTTTCCAGGAATATATTTGTCAGCCGTTGCAAGTCTTTAGTCAAATCGAAGGTATGAAGACCAAGATGGTGTGACCTTTTGTGTGGTCGCAGTCTCCTTTCGTTGTATAGAAGTTGTTTGACCTTGTTTTTGCAACTCGGTCATATTAGTAGAAAGACTTAAAGGAACGCATCTTGTCCTGAGTCCATTGTATGCATAATCATTTCCAAAGTCGGACCATGGACGTAGTACATTCCCAGACG